AAATGGTAATCTTCAGATCTAAACCTCCTGAGTAGCTAGATTATAAATGTGAGCGTCTGGCTCCTAACTCTTCTTTTGTTTTTAAGAGACAGAGTCTCCAGTATAGCTCAGTCTGGCCTTGAATTTGAAGTTGTCCTGTCATTACCTCTTGGTTAGAGATGTGATTTCCCATACCAGCTTCTCTCCAGTGTTCTTACAGAATGCTGCCCTGTCTTCATGGATCTCAGAACCACCATTCAATGTATTCATTTTTCTTCCAGCTTTCCAGTGTTTGTTCTGTAAGGCAATGGGAGTAAGTAGTGTGTGTGTGTGTGTGTGTGTGTGTGTGTGTGTGTGTGTGTGTGTGTGTGTGTGTGTGTGTGTGTGTGTGTTGTAACCTCTCTGTCCCTTCCTCTCACCTGGTCTTGGAGACTGACCAGACTGAGGAATGCTCATTGGCCATAGGATGATTGGCAGATTTTTTTTTCCCACTGTTTAACCCTCATGTACTAATATTGTCAAATGTAACGTGATCAACAGAAGCAGAAGGTAAGTTGTGCTGTTGGCCGGCTGTATGATTTTTCAGGCAACCATGACCACATAGGATGACATCTATATATGAGTTTGCTCTGGCAGCTACAACATAACTGAAATTTATTTCCTCACAATGCTAGAGGCTAGAAATCCAAGAGTAAAGATACTCCCCTGGGCCTGTCGAAGGCTGTCTTCTCTGTCTGCATGTGGTCTTCCCTCGGTACCTGTCTGTATCTGAATTTCCCCTTGTAAGGAATCCTATTGCAGAGGCCTACCTCATATCCTCTTTAACGACCCCATCTCCAGTCACATTCTGAGGTCCTACAGGTTAGGATTTCAGAATAGGAATGGAAGAGTATAATTCAGCCCTTAATCTTCTAGTTATTATTTTATAAGGACCAATTTAACCACTTGGTTAAAGCACTAATATAAAGCTGTGTGTAATATGTCAACTAAAATGGTAATGACTGCTGTTTTAAGATCTTATAAGCAGTGTGCCAAAGACTCATGCCTGTAATCCTACCTACTTGGGAAGCTGAGAGCTGAGGATTGTGGTTCAAAGCCAACCCTGTCAGGAAAGTCTGTAAGACATCTCCAGTAAACTACTCAGAAAAAGTTGAAAGTGGTGCTGTGGCTCAAGTGGTATAGCCCTAGCCTTGAGCACAAAAAAGCTCAGCAACAGCCCCCAGGTCCTGAGTTCAAGCCCAAGACCAACAGAAAGAAAGAAAAGAAGGAAAGAAAAAAAGAAAGGAGGGAGGGAGGGAGGGAGGGAGGAAGGAAGGAAGGAAGGAAAGAAAAAGATCCTATAGATGCCAAACACTACTGGTGGCTCAGGAGGCTGAGATCCAAGGATCACTGTTATCAGCAAGTAGCTGGAAATGGAGGTGTGGTTCAAGTGGCAGAATGCCAGCCCTGAACAAAAACACCAATGCAAGGCCCTGAGTTCAAGCCCCAGTACGAGGAATCCTTCTCCCTACCCAAAAAAAAAAAAAAAAAATCCACAGCAAAGGATGATATTGGAAAATATAAGTAATGTAAATCCAGACAGAATATAGAAATAAAAACTTCCATGGGGGTTGGGATGTAGCTCAGTGGCAAAGCGCTTGCCTAGCAAGTGCAATGTCCTGGGTTCAATCCCCAGTACCAAAAAAGAAAAGACACACACACACACACACAAAAACCTTCCATGGGCTGGGAAGGTGGCTCAGTGGTAGAGCACTTGCCTTGCATATATGAGGCCCTGGGTTCGATTCCCCAGCAACACATAAGCAAAAAGAAAAAAAGCCAGAAGTGGCACTGTGGCTCAAGTGGTAGAGCACTAGCCTTGAGCTGAAGAGCTGAGGGACAGCGCCCAGGCCCAGAGTTCAGGCCCCACGACCAGACCCAAAAAACAAAAAACAAAAAACTTCCAGCAGTGGCTCTCCAGCAGTGGCTCCCCTGCCCCATGCAGTGTGTACTATTCTTGTTCCTCCAGCTCTTCTTTGAAAATTGCCATGTCTGAACAGCACATCTCTGGAGGTCTTTGAATTGGCACAAAAGCAAAAAGATTGTTACATTGATCTTGAATGCTTGCAGTGACATCCTCCAGCTCCCCATGAACTCTCCAAGGCCTGTCCTACTCATCCTTTGTGTCCCTCACTATCTAAGAACACACAGTAAGGGCTCCCTGAAGACAGCCAATCAAACCAATAACCATGTGCCATTGTTATTTATTGCTAGTACATTATCCTGAGAGAGTAGATCGCCATCTAGTGATTAATACTAGAAAAGTGTGAGACAGAAACCCCTAGGCTGCTTTCATATGGTCTTTTCTTTCTCTTTCTTCCTTTCTTCCTTCCTTCCTTCCTTTCTTTCCTTTTTTGTCAGTTGTGGGCTTGTACTCTGGGCCTGGTCACTGTCCCTCAGCTCTTCAGTTCAAAGCTAGTGCTCTGCCACTTGAGCCACAGCGCCATTTCTGGTTTTCTGGTGGTTACTTGAAGATAAGAGTCTTACAGGGCTGGGAGGTTGGCTCAGTGGTAGAGTGCTTGCCTTGCAAGCAAATAACTAGCCAAAAACAGGCTGGAGGTATGGTTCCAGTTGTAGACTACCATCCTAACAACTCTGATTTCAAGCCCCAGTATACCCCAGACCACCACCGCTAGAAATCTTAGTGTGATAGCTTATATATGAATGATAATGTATACTGTTCCACATACACATTTACAATGTATCCCAATCAATCTCACTCCCCCTTATCTCCTTCCCTGCCCTCCTTTCCCAAGCAATGTTTTATTTTCATAGTTGGAAATAATCTATTTCAACAATATTCAATATTCATCCTTGTTAGTTCATCCTCCTCCTATTAGCTACCACCCCATAACAGTCTACTTCTCTTTCTCTAAGTGCAAGTAATATTCTCTACCACTTGAACCACACCCTCTACCCTTGTTTGTATTTGGGGTTGTTTTGTTTTTGTTTTTTGTACTTGGTTTTTGAGATAGCACTCATTGTCTCAAGGATTGCTGGGACTGGCCTTGTACTCATTCATAACCCACCAGCCTCTGTAGCTGGCATTATAGGTGAGCCTCATTCAACACAGTTTTGTAGAGCCTGTATTATAGGTTGTAGGTAGGTAGTGGGAATACACTAGTGAACAAAACTCAACAAAACCCTGACCTTAGGCAGCTTATATTATCCTAGTATGGTGAGCAGAATAGATAATATTAAAATAAGTGAAACAACCTGGGCACTGGTGGCTCATGCCTGTAATCCTAGCTACTTAGGAGGCTGAGATCTGAGGATCATGGTTCAAAGCCAGCCTGGGCAGAAAAAGAAAAAGTCCATGAGACTCTTATCTCCAAATAACCAAAAAAAAAATGGAAGTGGAGCTGTGGCTCAAGTGGTAGAGGGCCAGCCACATTGAAGGACAGTCCACACACCCTTTACATCCTAACTCCTTCTTTTTCCCGTGTGTGTGTGTGTGTGTGTGTGTGTGGTGTGTGCGCGTGCGCGCACTGAGGCTTGGTGCTGTCCCTGAGCTCTTTTGCTCAAGGCTGGCACTTTACCATTTTGAGCCACAGCCCCACTTCCGGTTTGTGTTGGTTATTTGAAGATGAGTCTCCCGGACTTTCCTGCCCCCAGCCAGTTACAAATGGGATCCTTAAATCATTGCTTCCCGAGTAGCTAGGATTACAGGCATGAGACACCTGTATCCAGCCTTAATCTTCAGAACAAATGCTGAGTGGAAAGGGAAGAAACTGGAAGACCAGACGAGGAGAGTGGAGCCGAAGTTCAGGTTAAGGGCGCCTTGAACTTCCATTCTGGCATAATGGGTTTCTCAACGGCTTGGAAGTGGAAAGGACAAGAGTTAACATGCAGCCTAGAAAGAACCAGAGAACGAGAGAGAGAGAGAGACAGAGGGAGAGAGAGAGAGAGAGAGAGACAGAGAGAGAGAGTTCTCACTGCTTGGGCCTCAGGGAAACGGTGGGAGGAGCTAGGGCTTTTGTGTTCGGTGTGGAGGGGATGAGGGGAAGGCTGCCCGATCAGCCTGATCGTGTGACGTCTGCAAATGGAAGAGGCAGCCTGGCAATGGCCTTTTCGCCCCTCCATGTAGTAGATACATATAAACATACATATGTACATCCTACTATGTATTATATTCCATTATTCTATTAACCAATGAGGTTTCAATTTCTGGAGCCAAGTCTGGGCTGGCGATCGATGTCCGCCAGCATGTCTCAGCACATGGCCGGTAGAAGTTTCGAGAGCCAACACGCGTCTATCTAGGTGCAGAGGCAGGAAGCCAACGTCCGTGCAGGAGGGAACTTGGCATGGTGGCCCGGGAAGGACTGCGCGAGGGACTCGAGCGCGGGCGCCGCCCCGGCCGCCCCGGCCTGCGGCCTCGGACCGCGGTTCCTCGCCGGCGGCCCAAGCCCGGCCTCTCCTAATGGACGCCTTCGGATTCCAGCCCAGCCCGTTGGGCTGGATGCGGATTTCTCTGTCCGACTGCAAAGCTCGGCTCTTCTAGCGCCAATCCTGGTAACTGGCAAGCTCGTAAAGCCTCCCCTGACCACTACGACCGGCGAGAGGGCAGGTCGCGCGGGCGCCGCCGGCGTCGCCCGCAGGGCACCGTCTTTCCCGACAACCGCTCTTCAGCGCCCTGAGGCCGGGAGGGAGGCGGAGGCGGGGCGGGGGTGGGGAAACTTCCCTCACTACGGATCCCACGATGGGTCAACTCACGTTGAGCGAACGAGGTGGGTCACGCGCCACAAAAGGATCTGGAGGGCGGGGCTATTCTACGGCACTCCCTTCTAATCCTTTGGCCTGTGATCTCCGGGATCTCTCTTCCTATTGGCTCCTGAGAGCGGAGGCTCCCCAAGGGCCTGCCTTTCCCAGAAGCAAGTGCGCACGCGTGGAGCGCCCCGGGCTCACTGAGCAGACGCGGCTTCGTGTCGGCTGGACGAGGCGGGTGCAGCGGTGCGCGCGCGCGCGCGCAGCGTCTCGGCCCTCGACTCTTTTCCGCTGGTCCCGCCCTCCGTCGCGGCGGCGCGGTGCACCCTGGGATAAGGAGCGATCTCTGAGCGAGGCAGCAAGATGGACGCGGGATTCTTCCGCGTAAGTACAAGCGCGGGGCTCTGAGGTTGAGGTGAAGGGGTTCTGGGGGAGGCCCGGCAGGAAGACTCGAGTCAGGACACCGTGGTCGGTGGAGGGAGGCCTGCGTGGTTCCGAGGCTCCCCGGTGGGGACCGACGCCCCCCCCCCGGCGCGTTGTGAGGAGACCGGTGCGCCCCTGCGCAGTCTCCTCCTCCGGGATCGTCCCCCCGGCGCGGCGGCAGGAAAATGGCGGCGGGAGTGGGCCGGAGTGGTACCTGGCTGAGGGTCCGGCGAGGCCCGCGGGCCGAGCGCCGCGCTTGCCGCGGGGTCCCCGGGCCTAGCGGAGCCCTGAGGAGGAAGTCCCCGAAGGGAGGCCGCGGGGGAGCCCGAGGCGACTCCTGACGGCGGGGAGCCTCGGAGGGCACTGTGTGGGGGTACCCCCCGGGAGGGCGTCCCGCGAAGGGGGACCTCTCAGAGGTTTTCTTTTGTAAAAAGCGCCCCCTCCCCCCCCCCCCCCCCCCGTGAGCCTTCGCCCGAACGCCGGGTCAGAGTTCACGAGCGCTCCCGCCCAATTCGCTGTCCCTCCGGGGACGGGAACTCGGATAATCTGTGTGTGGTCGGGACGTTTGAATCGGAGGCTCTGGTTAGAGGCCGAGGGTGACACGAAGTGAACCCATTTCTTCCCGCACCTCCCCCCCCCTTTTTTTTTCTTTTTCTTTTTAACTCTTGGAGCTCAATGGCTCTAGAAGTATTCTGTCTTAGGCGCTCTGTAACGTAAGCAGGGAAGTTGCCTGGTCTTCGGGGCCCGAACTTAAGCGTTTATTGGGAAATGAGCTTCCGGTCCAGATTCTAGATAGGGAGGGAGGGACACTTGTAGGATTAAAGTTATGTACAAGGGTTGGTAAATTGTCAGTGCAGAGTAGACCGCCGAGGGACCACTTGGTCAAAGCCAGCATCTCGCCCTAGTGTAATACAGGTTGACTTTACACCCCCTGGAGCATTTGCAGTGTGTGAGTGTTTAAATGGAAAATTAGAAGAGGGAAGAAGGCCGGCATTTAGAGCACTTACCTAACATGTAAAGTGCAGTATTTCCAATACCGCCAAAAAAAAAAAAAAAAAAACCAAACTGCCAACTAGATTTTCATCAGCTGTTTCAGTGTTGGCCCAAGCATGTGACCTAAGGCACCTACCAATTGTTTAACTGTTCTCAGGTCAGGCAAGCAACTGAATGGTAGTTTCACATGAGCTTGTCAAGTTCGAACACTGCTAATGAGCTGTCAACTTGTAACTTTGCATCTGATTTTTTAATGGATACATTTTTACTGGATATTGTATAACATTTTGAAGCAAATAAAGGTTTACTTTGACCCTGTCAAGTAGTACTTCTAGTTGAATAGAATTCCATTGAAATAAAAATGAGGTTGACTTGCAAATTTTAAGATGACAGTTGTCTTTGAAGCTGCTGAAAAAGTAATAGTGTATATGTTAAATACAGTAGGTAGAGTTGTGTTATATATACATTCCTATAAATCCCTAAATTTAGGAGTTAAACTGTAACTAAGCACTGAGTTAAAAGATTTTAGAAGCTGGGCGCCAGTGCCTCATGACTGTAATCTCGAGGCTGAGATCTGAGGATTGTGGTTCAAAGCCAGCCTGGGCAAGAGAGTCGGTGAGACTTTTATCTCCAGTTAACCACCAGAAAACCGGAAGTGGCACAGTGACTCAAGCGTAGAGCACTAAGCCTTGAGCTGAAGAACTCAAGTGACTGGCCTGGAGTTCAAGCCCCATGACTGACCAAAAAAAACTTTTTTGGGGGGAGCAGTTGTCTAGTACTGAATATTTTGAGAAATGTTTAAATGATGTTTTTACTGAACAACTTTCACATGTGACGTCTTTGACATACACTTCTTTTCTTTTTTCTTTTTTTTGTCATGGGGGCTGAACTCTGGGCCTGGGCACTCCCTCAACTCTTCAGCTCAAGGCTAGCGCCCTACCACTTGAGCCACAGCACCACTTCCGGCTTTTTTTTAATGTGATGCTGAAGAATTGAACCCAAGGCCTCATGCATGTGAGGCAAGCACTCCACCACTGAGCCAACTTCCCAGTCCATAACATATACTTCTGATACAACCCTCTATTACTCTTTTCATTTTTTTTTTCTGGACTCTTTAAGAATTTGTCTTTTTTTCTTTTCTTTTCTTTTGGTTGGTTGTGGGGCTTGTACTCGGAGCCTGGGCGCTGTCCCTCAGCTCTTCAGCTCAAATCTAGTGCTCTATCATTTGAGCCATAGCTCCACTTCCGGTTTTCTGGGGGTTAATTGGAGATGAGAGTATCATGGACTTTTCCTGCCCAGGCTGGCTTTGAACCGTGGTCCTCAGATCTCAGCCTCCTGAGTAGCTAGAATTACAGGCATGAGCCACTGGTGTCCGGCTTAAAATTAGTCTTTCTTGTGATATTGGGGATTGAATCTAGAGCCTCATGCATGCTAGACAAGTGTTCTACCACATTAGCCCATCTCCAGCCCTTTTGTTTTTGAGATAGGGTCTCCCCAGCTTTGTCCAGGCTGACTCTTAACTTGAGGCCCAAGTAGATGGAATTATAGCTATGCACCACCATGCCTGGCTTGATATTTTATTCTTAATATATACTTATATTTTTACTTGTATGTAATTCTACATGTTTATAGGGTACAGTGAGGCATTTGAACACATGTATAAAATAAGTGAAGATTGGGTCAGGGTAATTGGCCTAGCTCCACAGACATTTGTTTCCTCCCCCCACCCCCTTGGTGTCATTTTTGGGGCTTGAACTCAGGGTCTAGGGTCTGTCCCTGAGCTTTTGTGTTCAAGGCTAGTGCTGTACCACTAGAGCCACAGCTCCACTTAGAGTTTTTTTGATACTTAATTGGAGATAAGAGTCTCACAGGTTTTTCTGCCCAGGCTGGCTTTGAACCATGATCCTCAAATCTGAGCCTCCTGAGTAGATAGGATTACACACATGAGCCATGGGCTCCTGGCTTCATTATTCCTATTGTTTCAAGTAAGGAAACATTCTCAGAAGTTAGGTGATTTGCTCTGAGAGCACACAAGTATATAGTGGCATGGCTACAGGATAATTCAGGTTTTTTCCTTTCCAACTAGTATTTTCTTAATCACCAGTTAGATTTCAGGTCACACAGCCAGTTATTTCCATATTTAGGCAAACAAGGATAATACATTTAGTGGTCATTGATGATAGTATATTTGTAAGCTCTAATTTTCTTTATTCTTCTCTGACATTTTGTTAAGCAAGGTAAACTTGTATTTCAAATTCTTGAAAGTTATGATAAATTAACACAATACCATTTCCAGGTTCTTTATTGCTTTTTACAGGGCTTCTATGCAGTGCTACAATAATTTTGGAAGCATACTAGCTTTCAGAAAAGGATGGAACTTCAATATATTTAAATAGAAAAGTGTTTCTTATCTCTTAGCATAGTACAGTAGTAAAAGAATACAAATCAAACTTAAGGGGAAAGTGTCAGCTTTATACTGTATATTGCTATATTGTATTTGCCCTGTTACGGGCATATAATGATTTTTAAGTCAATAGTGTCATTTAGTTACATTGTGGAAAATGAATGCATCTTGTATCTGAATCTTAGTTATGGTTTTTCTGTATACTTCATTGCCCTGTAAAGGTGATAAAGGAATTTAACTTTGAATCCTTACACTGTTGTCTTTCTGTAGGGGACAAGTGCAGAACAGGATAATCGGTTTAGCAACAAACAGAAGAAACTACTGAAACAACTGAAATTTGCAGAATGTCTAGAGAAAAAGGTACTGAAATTAGGCAATACTGTATTTTTATTTTAGCACAGTTAATTTACATTGGGGGGGTTGTTTTAGAGATACACTGTAATTTTAGTGCTAAGAAAAGTATTCCCTTTTGTATGTGTATGCTGGTTTTGGGGCCTGAGTTCAGGCCCTCATCAGGACTGGCACTCTACCACTTTGAGTCACAACTCCACTTCTAGCTTTGCATTGTTACTGGAAATAGGAGTCTCACTGACTTTTCTGTCCAGGCTGGCTTTGAACTGTGATCCTCAGACCTCAGCCTTCTGAGTATCTTGAATTACAGGTGTGAACCACTGGTACCTAGCATGAAAGTATTCTTAATTGAGCGTTAGCCACCATGTCGTACAACATAACCAAATAAGTGAGCAGATAATCTAAAAGAAATTTTTTCAGGTAAAACTGTTACTCTGGGGCTGGGAAGGTGACTCAGTGGTAGAGTGCTTGCCTTGCATGCATGAGGCCCTGGGTTCGATTCCTCAGCACCACATGAGCAGGGGGGGGAAAAGCCGGAAGTGGCGCTGTGGCGCAGGTGGTAGAGTGCTAGCCTTGAGCTGAAGAGCTTAGGGACAGCGCCCAGGCCCAGAGTTCAAGGCCCTATAACCGGACGACGACGCCCCGCCCCCCCCCCCCCCCCCCCCCAAAAAAAAAAATTTTTAAAAACTGTTACTATGTAATCATGGGTCAAAGCTCCCAGGGCAGGAAAAGTCCATGAGGCTCTTATCTCTAACCACCAAAAAGCCGAAAGTGGAGCTGTATCTCAAGTGGTAGTGTGCCAAACTTGAGTAAAAAAATATTAAGGGAAAGTGCCCAGGCCCTGAGTTCAAGCCCCAGTAAAAGAAAATACTGTTGAGGTTTCTTTGAAGATCCTGAAATTGTACTTAGTAACTGTTTGCATGTTTTATCAGGTGGACATGAGCAAAGTAAATTTGGAGGTTATAAAGCCTTGGATAACAAAACGAGTAACGGAAATCCTTGGGTTTGAAGATGATGTTGTGATTGAGTTTATATTCAACCAGCTGGAAGTGAAGGTATTAATATACAAATGGCTACTATTTCTGAATATATGACATAAATTGTGAA